CGCTGTTATTTGTAAATGCTACTGCTTATGTTAGCTTTTAATATATGGTTTTATCCTGATTAAAGCTTTAATACAGCATGGCAACCGCATGAACATCCATGTTTAACTCTTCTCATAGCTATGTGAAAAATATCTGTCTGTCTATATACATAAAGTGTATAAATGGAACCGTTCATTGTTGGAGCTGACGATCTGAATGAGAGAGAGAGAGAGAGAGAGAGAGAGAGAGAGAGAGAGATAGAACATTGATTTTGAAACTTGTGAATCCATTAGAATCATTAGAGAAGACAAAATTGCAATTCATATATCGTGCACCCCTAGTTTTGACGGCATGGCAACAATTCTTCTTCTCTAAAGCAGCGCAACATGGCCTCGCCCCCTTTGTTGCACGTTCCCGGGGGCGGGGTTTATCAGGGTTTGGGACGTCACAAACCCGGGAAGTAACTTGTAGTCCCTACGATATCTCGATAAAAGACGATATCTCCGTTTGCATTGAACTTTCAGCGTCGTAACTTTGCAGATATTGTTTATGCTCGAACAGCAACATTACACACTAATGTTCATAAAGTGAAATCGCAATCAACCACCCCTTTAAAAAACAAGACATGACTAAAAACAAAAGGCAAAAAAACTAACTCAAAACATGAATATATATCTCACTGACATGCAGTGTTATTTTAATATTAGGGATATACTATTATAAATTTTATTCATATTTTGAATCAGTTTTCATTTTTATATTTTCATTTTATTTTAGTTAAAGTCTTAGTAATTCAGTGGTGTTGACATTTTTAGTTTTTTTTCTCCCCTCCTTAAAATACGCAGTTTTATTAATTTTTATTTCAGTTTTAGTAATTGTAGTACATCAAGGTAAAATAAATTAAAGCTTTTGCAACTAGACAAAATTGTTAAAAAAAGTTACATTTTTTGGATTTTATTTTGGTTAATCTTCATTTTATTTTAAATGTATTTTAATAGTTTTCATTTTAGTTTCAGTTTTAGTTATAACTATAATAACCCTGCTGATACTAAAATAACACTGAGCAGAATCACCTTAAACTTTGCTGTGTCATGACTATCTGTGCTATGCGCACAAGAATCAACAACCAATTTCTGAGCATATGATTAGTGGCCAAGCATATGTAGCGAATCAGCTCATGGGGAAATATGAATAATTAATCTCATTTCTGCTTCTTCTTTAAACTCCACACTTAGCATCTTGGCCTTGACAGAGACCTGGATTCGTCCAGAAGACTCAGCAACCCCAGCTGCTCTCTCTAACAATTTCTACCACAAAGAGGCAAGAAGGCCTGGCAGGGACTAAGAGCCGAGAGACACAGCCTGGCCGCAGGGGGAAGATGGGCTTCAGTGCTGCAGGAGCAGGCTGAGATGCATGGGATGCTTCAGGAAGTTGTGAAAGGCTAAGAGAAGAGAAACAGTGCTTATTATTCGAAATTTGGCTAGTCAAAAACAAACACATATGTAAATGCTTTTATTAGAGGGAAAAGGAAGCGTAAATAGGAAAAAGTGTTGTGCAAATTGAAATGATTTGGTCTCAAAATTACATAAAAAAAAATATCTGAACCAAATTTTTTGTTTTTGATTTAGCTATAAATAAATCATTCAGTAAATAAATGTTTTTTTTATTTTTTATTTTTGACTGCATTGTGACTAATAAAATCTCACCATTTCAAATAAATAAATAAATATTAAAATTAACTGCTTTTATTAGAGGAAAAAGGAAGGATGAGTAAGGAAAAGTGTTGTGAAATTTTCAAGAGAAGGGAAGAAAGAAAAAAAAAGAAAGAAAAATATTTTTACATTACATTTACCATTCGCGATCATGCTCTCACACAAATATTCAGGAAAACATTAACTATATCATATATCTTCTAAATATAATAAATAAAGCCATACAGGGATACTGCATGGAGTATAGCCTACTCAGATTGGGTAGTTGGGAAGAAGCATCTAGCAACCACCTTAAACATACTAGCAAGCACCAGTAAACCCAAGCAAACACCAGCAATCACCGAGAACACCCTAACAACCACAAGTACGTCCTAGCAACCCCCTATCAATCACCTAGAACACCCTATAAACCCAAACCCCTTAGC